TTACAAGAGAGACATTTTAGAAAACCAGTAATAATGTCTGTATGCTTAACTAGACTTTAGTACTCTATCTGGGGCTGGAACTTGAACCAATAAATCAGAGTATAGAGAAAGTGCCTTGCCCTCAGTGGAAGCTGGTGGGACACAGCCATTCACCTTGTTCCATGAAGACAACGTTTATGGTTGAGATTTCCTTCCTCTCAGGTGATTGGGCTGCAGCATCAAGTGCAGGCCAGAAACAACATTTCTAACCATGACCAGAAGATGTTTCAATAAAAGGTGTCAATTGGAGGCACACAGGTTTTATTACCTATGTTGGATGGATCGAACATAATACTTTGGGGGAAATCAGCTGTAAAAGACCTTTCAAATGTTGAAAAACAAAGATGTCCCTCTGAGGGTTTAGATGTGCTTGACCCAAGCCATGATATTTTCTGTCACCTCATATGCTTGGAAAAGTTGGACAATACATAAAGAATTGATGCTTCTGGATTGTGTTGGTGACTACTAACTAGATCACGCCTCACGGGTGACCTAGAGGGTAAGGAGTTGCACTGCCTGAAGAGAGGCAGTTTTGAATGGACCAGCTGCTCTGCAGTAGAAAAATGGATAGTCTCTTCCTGTGTGATTTACAGCCTCTGAAAACCTGCAGGAGGGTCAGCTATGAATTGTTTGACTCAAACAGCAATGAATGTTTTGAGCAAGCCTGAAGAATGCATAAATCTGGCTTGAAAGTAGTGCAGCCAGAATGGTCCTTAGAAGTGGAGATAGGGAGACTTCCTCTCATGTACGTTGGACATGTTTTCAGGAGGAACCAGTCCTCGGAAGAGGATGTCTTGCTCAGTAAAGTAGCAGGTCGGCCCTCAATGAGATGGGTTGACACTGTAGTTGTAAAAAAGGGCTCAAGCGTGATGGTAATTTTAATGATGGTGCACAGCCAGGCAGGGTTTCCGCCCTTTGTTGCTGTGATACAGACTGACAAAATAACAACACATGCGGATTGGACAGAAACTCTTCATTGACAGAGGTGCAAGGAAGGACTCACCTTTAGTAGCTTTGCTGTCACTGTTATAGGTCCCGTGCATAGCCATTCAGCACATACCAGGGAGCCGCCCCAGGCTGTGTGCTCTAGGTGAGATTACTCATGACTTCCTTTTTAGTTACTCCCCACATATCCCAGCTGCTGCTTAGCCTCGTCGTTATTTATGTGTAGCCTTCTCAATTCATGTTCTTCTTTGAGAAATTCGAAGACTTTATTTGATGTCTTTATCTGAAGCTCAGAATCACCCATCTGGGAGTATGTAGGAATGCTAGTTACATCTTTTTTTTTCCCCCATAATAGAAAAATTTTATTCATTTTTATGAATAAGATGGAAAATGCACTAAAAAATAGGATTTTATTCCCTGAGGTGCCAGTCAAAGTGGACAGCATTGCCATCGCAACACAAGATTAAAAAATTAGCCATAAATAATAAGCACAGACTGCTACCTGGATCAAAATGACCTCCCAGCATGAATTGGTTTAGAAGCTCTCATTGATGGGGTTCAGGGTGCCCTGCTATGCCTCACCATCCTGTGGAAACACCTTTGCTTGGACAAAGGTATAGAATCAGCCAAAAGCTTTAGAGGGCAGAGAAAGAGTCCGCGCGTCGGGCCTTCACCTCGCGTTGGGGACCGATTCGGGCACCGTCAGCCTTCTGGAGAGGCGAGTGGCCCACAAGGCTCCTCTGTTCGCCACACGGTCAGAGCAGAAGCTGTGACCAGCCTCTGGGCCAGGTTAGCTAGTTACATCTTAACTATCAAAACAGCCAGTGGCAGACCTGCTTGAGGCCCGCATATGTCCTTTCTGTGACTCATCTAAATCTAACCTCTTGGTCTCTTACACAAACTGAAGCCCACAACTTATATCCTGGAGCAGGTAATGGTTCATATTAGCTGTTGACTTGAAATGAGCTGCAATCAAACAAGAAGGAAAATGTACATCATCTCATATTGGTCTTGGAAGATTCTATCACTTATTGCGCTTTGCATCCTGGTATGTTATGTGGGCAGAATGAAAGGAGCTGTGGTCAGGGTGAGAATTTGAACTTTTGATTCATTCCCTTATTTTGGAAAGGTTAAAGAGATGTTACATACTCTGGTGTCATATTAGTACTCATTTTTGAGGTGTGTGTGTGTGTGTGTGTGTGTGTGTGTGTGTGTCAGGATAAAAAGAGAATGCTCAATTACTGTTACTAATACGGACATTTTTTCAGAGAACTTACCTTCAAAAGACAAGTTTCAGGGTCTTTACATATGAATAATTTCAAATACAAAAATTAGCACAAAGCCAATTTCTGTGAGCTGAAAGTCCAGTAGGTTCCAGATTTTCACATTCTCCACGCTGCTCTGGACACTGTCCCACCCCTCAGCAGTCTGCCTTCTGAGTTAGGTAATTCACTGCAACATCTCGTAGAACTCTTGAACTGTATTTCTAATTAGGTGGTTTGTGATGGATAATGCCACATGTCAGCTGGGCCATGATTGTCAGTGTGATGTAATTATCTTACATGTTATGAATTCTAACCTCTATGATGTTAATACAGCAAGATTCTCATCTCATGGAGTCAGAACCAACTCCTAGCAGACTCTGTTAACTTTGCAGGGCTTTAGATCAGACCTTTCTTTTGAAAGGGCCCACTGGTACATTAGGGCCTCTAGAGAGGTAGCCTTTGGGTTAACGTTGCAGCTCCCTACCGACTATGCCACCAGAACTCCTGAGGCAGAATCAGAGACAGTTATATAGTGGTGTGGCAGTAGCATCCACTTCCTAAACAACATTGATAAACTTTGATAAATGTCGATAGTTGTAGAGGGGCTTCAGGCTTTTTGTTCACAGTGTCGCTATGAGTTGTGCTCAACTCAAAGGCAGTCAATTACAACAACAATGTATTGGTGTAATTATTCCCATAATGTCATCTGATAGCATCAACCCCAGTCTCATATGAAACGACTTGACTGGAATGCAGCATCTTAGTTGGTCTCAGCACTGGTCCAATGTAGGGGATGCCACCTCAAGAATATGGCCTACACTGGCTCTGTGTGTATATATGTGTGTGCGGTGTGCTGTTGAGTTGAAACCAACCCATAGCTGACCCTCCTGCGGATTTTCAGAGACAGTAAATCACACAGGAGGAGATTGCCCATCCTTCTCCTGGGTAACAGATGGGGGATTGAAACTCTGTGCCTTTGTGAGTGGAGCACAGCTTCTTACCACTGACCACTAGAGCTTTACACACACACACCCACTCACTCACTCACTCTGAACTCTCCAGCAGAGCTAGCCAGGTTTTCTTACTCGATCAGGATCTTGCCTCAGGCTCACCTCCCTATTTGTGGAACCAGCAGCCTGCCTCATCTCTGAGCTTGGACTTGCCAGTGTCCACAGGTACCTCTCTCTCCTGGGGTCTGGCCCACAGACCTGGGACTTGTCAGCTCCTCCAAGCCCATGAGTCATTACAAGGTTTGTTATGGAACAGAGTGAACTCAGGGTCTGGATCAATAAGCTCAGCTCCTGCTCAGGAAACATGTAGGCATTCTCCCTTCAGCACAGGGCAGTCCTCTCAGGCCGCCCCCAGGCTTTCTCAGGACAGGTTCCTGACCGTGTTGTCTGTTGCTCTGTCACTGGGCCCCTTCCACATTACTGCTCTTCAGAGGTTTTTTCCCTCTTCTTTAGTTTTCATTAGCTTTTTACTACTTCCTAACATATATAAAAGCAGAGGAATATAGACTCCCATCTTCCCATCACTAACCACAGCAACCACCAACTCAAAACCACTCTCATAAACTTTTTTTTTTTACTTTAAAGCTTTCAGATGATATCTGTTGATTTCCATGTTGAGAAATGATGGTGTAGCTAATTTACTTTCCCCACTTAAAATTATTATAGTAATTTTTTTTCCATTATCCTTGCAGTTTTAAATATATCCTTAAGCCTCTGGTTTTTGTTACATCAACCTTAGGTAGTGGGCTGTTGAGTCAACTACAATACATAGTGACCCTATGAAAAATTAATCTGAGCCTTGCCTGCTCTTGGGCAACCTTAGACGGCATTACCTAACTAACCCCTCATGTAAGGTGAGCATATTGGTGTCCTACCACTCCTTTACTTTGGCTTTTACCTCCCAACCATTTTCAGCGAAACCTTTTTATACAATAGCATGCATGTTGTTGTTTATCGCAGAGTCAGAACCAACCCACAGTTGACTCTGGCGGGTTGGGTTTTCAGAGACAGTGAAAAGCATGCGAGGAGATTGCTCATCCTTCTCCCATGCTTGCGTGTATAGTCAGTTTATAACTCAACTCATACTGACCCTTACAGCACAGAGAAGAATAGCCCCATGGAATTTCCAAAGCTGCATCTTTCTTCCATGAAACAGATGGTGCACTCGAGCCACTGGCCTATTGTGTCACCAGCACCATAATTCCTCTTTTCTGCTATTTGTTTCTAAGACTTGAGGATCAATATATTTTATATTATTACATACTGTCTTTAAATATTATTCCCTGAAAAGCCACATCATGTACTAGGATTGTGTTTTCTACTGACTGTTTAGCAACTTTTGTACTGTTAGGAGTGTTCTAAACAACTAGTTAATAACCCTTTGGATTCAGAAAGAGTAGTCAGTAGGACTCAGAGGCCTGTATGTTCTCTTCATTACATGACGTGTGACCTTGTATTATGTAGTCATTTCCTGCATTTTGTCCCTAGTTTGGGGACTTCTTGACAGGAGCCGGTCTTTCCTTTATTAATTCCTCAGTTGCCCACACCAGCTGTAGTTTCTCAATATAGTCATTGGTTTCCCAAAAGTTAAGAACCAGAGTTCATTTGCCAAGTAAATCTAGCCAATGCCATTAAAAAGATACCACACCATCAGAATTTTACATAAACTTTATTTTATTACAAGATATAAATATATAAATATGTTTAAAATAAAATTATAAAAATACATAAATTAAAACATTCATCTTTTACACTTTGAGTATTTCTTCATCATGACCGTCTTTAGCCTTTTCAAGAAGTCTAGCAGTGTACTGGTCTGGGCCTTGTTCACAGGACAAGGGATCTAGAAAAGAAGCCTTTCATTAGATTGCTTTGGGAGGTGTTTCTGTTTTACTGTCCTAACTATACTGGAGTCAAGCCTAATCTGGCACTTGCTGCCAAGGCAATTACCACACCAAGACCTTCAGTCTAGCTTTAGTGGGAGGCTGTGGACCAGCAGGATTCTCATGGTTTGGGCCCTTCCTTATACTCCTAGAAATGGTAACCATTCCACCACTAGCCATCGGCCATCGCTGGAGAGATGGGCTAGGTGCTGTGCTCCAGGGGAGTAACATGAAGGTGCAGGCTGAGGCCTCCGCACTGCCTTCCTGCACCTTCTGCATGGCCACCTGATGGCTGAGAGGCAGAGGGGAACAGCATGGCAGGCCTCCATAGGGCAAGGCTTCCAGGGAACTACCACCAGGCTGTTTCCATTTGAATCTCAACTCTGCTATTAACTACATTGTGTAGAACCAACAACTTAACTCATTAAAGTTTCTGTTTTTTACAAGATGAAGACAACAGTCCTTTACAATTAAGAAACTTGCAAGAGTTGTGTTTGTCAGCTCCCTGTTCCACTACTTTATGATATCAGTGAAGCTACAGGCTGAGGAGGTGATAGGACCTTGCTTCTAACTAAGGCAAGTTGTTCACTTTAGTAGAAATAACATCTACTCTTGCCCATAAAGACCTCTAATTATTCTCCCTGTCCTGTACACTGTTCATTCTCCCCTTGTCTCAGTTATTCCCACAGGCAGATCAACATGATGAAAGAAATGTCCTGCGCTCCATCCTTGTCTTGTAGCTACCCCAGTTCTTTGCAACACCTCAGAAGAGCTTTCTATATTGTGACTTCCTTTTCGCCCATTGTCTCCATTCATTCTTGATCTCACTCCAATCAGAATTTCATCCCTGCTTCTCTGCTGAATTTATTTAAGTCAGCATCACCAGTGCCGCCCCCCCAGCTTGCCAACTCCAGTGTCAATCCTCAGTCTTCATCTACTTGACCCCATGAGGACATTGGACACAGTTTATCCCTCTTTCCTTCTTAAAATAGCATCTTCTCTGGACCTCTGAGATACCACACACAGCAAGATGGCCTCCTACTTTGCTGGCTGCTCCTTGGTGTCTGCTGGATCTTCCTCTTTCTGACCTCTGCAGGTTTGAACACTTCTGTGCTCAGACCTTAAATCCCTAGTTCATTCAGCTCTAAGACTTTGAATAGCATCTAAAGGCTCTCTATTTTATTTCACACGTTCTGGCCACTTCTCTAAACTTCAGACATTTTGAACCATATTCTAAACATCTCTGCTTAAATACCCAAAGGGCATTTCATACTAAATATGGACTGAAATTGGACTCCCAGTCTCCCACTCAGCTTTCAGCCCTGCTTCACCCCTAGTCTTCCGTGTCTCTGTAAACAGCCCCAGCCATCCCTTCAGGGAGGCCAGGCCAACAACCAATGGCACATTTTAACTCTTCTCTTTTCCTCCTACCTGATCCATCAGCAAATTGGTCTGGCTCAATTATTAGATGTAGCCCAAATCTAACCATTTCCACTGTCCCCCACCAGCACCATCTCTGGATCTTGTTACTGCAGTAACCTCATCAATAAATAGTATGTTTGCTCCTCCCCTAAGTCAGACTTCTCACTTACAGGCTTCTGAGTGATCAGTTAAATCATGCAAATTGAACTGTCTTTTCTGGATTGCAGAAAACCCTTCCAGTGCTGCCCATCATATCTGGCCAGAATCCTAAGACTCTGATCCAATCTCCTTCCTCAATGCGGTACCACCACACCAGCCTCCCTACTGAACGTGAACAGACACAGCTCCTTTCTACCTTAGCGCCTTTGCCTCTGTCTGCAATGTTCTTTTTCCAGTTGGCCATACGGTCTGTTTCCTCACTTAATTCAGATTAAGCCCCTGCCTTCTGGATCAGCCCCCAGTCCTGTATTCCTTGTTATTGTCTTCTTTTTTTCTTCACAGCACTTATCATGATTGGATATAATTTTCTATTCACTTGATTGTGTCCCTCACTCCTCCACTAGAACATTCCATGAGAACAAGGAGCCTGCCTGCTTTCTTATCCCCTGTACTAGAAAGCACATTGCACTTAACAGACTTGACAAATATTTGCTTAATGCCTTGCTTCATGTAGGGCAATCAGAACAACTGGAAGTGAGGGTTTTGAGAATTAGCTGAGGCGTCAGCCTAATGCAGCATACCTGGCTCTCCGTCATGCTGGTGAGGTTTATGCTGAGTCCTCTCAAAAGTTGCTTGGAACACTTGGAGTTTGACGAGACTTGCTCTAGCACAGTCCTCGCCTTGCAAAAGGTTTCCTGCTCACTTGTTTTCTGGAAAGAAATGTCAGACAGCCATTTGTGAGCATTATTTTAAACATGAAGGATTTGTTTGTGGGTTTTTTCCCTTCGGAATGTTTCTGCCTGAGAGGACAGCTGGAGAAGGTGTGCTTGCTCCACTGTGGCTCAGGTGTCCAGGATCCCAGCCCCGTGCAGGCAGGTGCCCGTGCTAGTCGTACAGCTCCGCAAACAGCTCTCCTAGTTACCTGCACTCGCAGCAAATCTCAGAACCTGCCAGTTTCTTTTCCCATAAAGGACCTTGTTGTAAAGGATTTCAGCTACCTTTGGCTCCCTTTTGAACACAGAAGTTAAGAGTTCACAAGCAACAGATGTTGGCGAGATTGTGAAGAGACTGGGATCCTTATTCACTGTTGGTGGGAGTGTAAAGTGGAGCAACCACTATGAAAGGCAGTATGGGGCTTTCTCAAAAAGTTGCAAATTAGGGACCTCTGGTAGACTAGTGGCAAGAAGCTGCACTATGATACCAGAGGTAGCTGGTTCAAATCCACCAGATACTTTGCTGGAGAAGGAGGGATAATCTCCTCCTGTACCAGTCAGATCCGATTTGATGGTACACACATACACACAAAATAATAACAATAATAGAAAGTTGCAAATAGAAATACCATTTGACCCAGCAATTCCATTACTGGGAATATACCCTAAAGAGACCAGAGCTGCTGCCCAAGCTGATATATACACACCTATGTTTATTGCTGCTTTGTTCACAATAGCAAAGTATTGGAAACAACCTAAGAACCCATCAACAAATGAATGAATAGAGAAGCAGTGGTATATTCACACAATGGAATATAATGCAGCACTGTAAAATGAAGAACTCATGAAATATTATACAAATTGGGTGACCATGGAGGACGTTAATGCTGAGTGAAATATCTCAGTCACAAAAGGGCAAATACTGCATAGTGCCACTGTTATAGAACAGGACTGATATAGGGCTTGGGGAAACTAAGAAAAGAGGGGATAAATAATGTACATAGTATTGAAACAAACAAAGGAGAGAACTGTATAAAAGGAACATATGATTAGGTATTATTGGCATGACAGGAGTCTGGAAGAAGAGCTGTATTGTAAAGTAGTCTGTGGTGGGGGGCGGGAGGAAACTGTTTAACAATGAAAGAACTTTTTCCCCCCCAGAAAAGTGAACTGGGAGGGAGGAGGTCAGGGAGGAAAATGTGTGACAATGAATGAATGGAAATCCGGGGGGGGGGTGAATTTTAAATAAACAAAAAAGAGAAGAAGAAGTAAGAGTTCATTTTCTTTTTTACTTGTGAGAAATTGTAGGCAAGCCAGGAGTGTGTTTAGGACTTGGGAGCCATGAGGGTGGCAAGGTGGGAGACACTCAAGTTACACAGCATGTACTCAGTAAAGGGCACCACCGTGCCAGGGGTTATATATGCCTGCTTCCTTCAGACACGCCAATAGGATTCTTAAAGAAATACTTTAAAATGAGGATACTAGGGGATTGTGTACAAATGAAGGAGTTTGTCTTTTGCTTTTCAAGGAGAAGAGCGAACTGGGGATGGGAGGGGCGGTGGGTGGGGAGAAAAGTGCAACAGTGAATGAATGGAATTCCAAAATCTCTGTAGATGTTCATTGAAATTATTATAATAATAATAATAATTTAAATAATAAAAAATTATGAGGGAATAACTTGGTTAAAAAAATGAGGATACTGAGGTGCTCATCCAAGTACCTGCATAAAGAGAGCCAGCTAGCTAAGTGGCACGGCGGGGGTTTGAGTGCCAGAACATCTGTCTCCATAGCCTACGCCTGTTTCTTTACTGTTTGTGTAAAAGGCACCCACCTGCACTTAGTGTGATTCTACCCTTCTCTCAACCTGTAAGTTTAAAGCCCCAATTTCCTGGAAATCACTCATGCTTTTTACTTCAGTGAATGCTATCCTTTGGGTGATCTGGGCAATGCTCATTCTCCAGGGGGCTCCAGTGGCCTAGTGGTAAGAAGCTGTGCTGCAAACCCAAAGACAACCACGACCACAATCACATTCTCCAGTTACCCTTCATGAGAGATAGAAATGCCTGTAGAAGCTCATGATCCATTGAGGAGAGAAGCCACATTCCTCAAAGCTAGAGGAGCAAGCCCACATTTGGGCAAGATAGTCTGGAACCTGCCTCTGGGAGAGGGAGCAGGTTGAACCTTGGACAGGGCTTCCACTGGCCTTCAGAGGTGCGGGTGCGGGGCCAGGACCCCCTTGGAGCTGTGATGTGGCTCTGGCTACGTGGGCTCTTCCTGGAGATGCAGGATTGTGGAAGGGGCATTATACACTCAGGGAAACAGCTCGAGCTGGAGAATGTGGCTCAATCGGAACCATACCTGCTGTGTCTTCCTCTGACGAACAAAGGCTCAGAGTCTGGAGAGTGGTCTGAGCATGACTCTCTCCCAGTTCAGATGGAGACAGCCAGGATGGAGACTTGGCTGGAGCCTCAGCGAGGGCGCACTCGGGTCCCTTGCTCCTCACAGAGCAGTCCAGCGCAGCAGCATGAACATTCCCTCCCTCATTAGAAATGCAGCACCTCAGGCTTCCCCTAAGTCTACCTAGAACATGCATTAGCAAGAGCCTCCCGCCTGGATTGCCATGACAAGCACCGCTTAAGGGGCTTCAGAGTTCTTACAGTTACACAACCTTTTTCCTGATTCTGAAGGAAATATGATTAATATAAAAGTCACCTATATTCAGAAATGATGAATTCATGCATTATCCTACAACTCACAAGCTCTCTCCAGCAACTGCAAGAGCAGGAAACCACCTTGGGTAACAACTTAGCTAAGTGGAATTTTTGATCCCCAAGTGGAGTAAAATTGATATGCTGTATATTGGGAAGATGATCCTCTTTTTAGTCACAAAGAAATACCTTTTCCTCCCATGTTCCACCCTGCAATTTTTAATAAATAGCCAGTTTTCCTTGTTCAGAAATAACAAGTAAATAAGCAGTGCTGACTCTTTGAAGGGAAGAAAAGAATGAGATCACTGATTTAGGAGGACTGCCTGCAGTTTGGGGAAGAACGCAAGAGGCATTGAGAGTGAAAGAAGGCAGGCAGCATGGGCTTGCTGTAGGAGCATCCTGAATGTGCAGTGAGGGGGGTACGTCAGAACCCAGGCCGGAGGGGCACCCAGGATGGAGGGGAGCACTGACGGTGTGGGAGCTCTTCTAAGGCAGCTGGGGCGGGGGTGGCTGGCCCCAGATTCCGAGTCATCACCTGGTGGGTTTGATCATTTCCAACCACCAGCCTTAGAAATCACTGCTCCGTTACACCTAGTCTTTACTTTTAATCAAGGCCTACATCATCTTAAAATAACACTTTCCGCTAACACACATTGGATTCCAACCAACCATCAAACTAACTTTCGTATCTTCAGATGTGGAAACAGAGGCACAAAGAGGTGTGGAGATTTTCCAAAGGCCACACAGCACAACAGGTAACTAGCAGAAAGGGGCTAAAACCACACGCTCTGTTACTTCAGACCCGAAGCACTTCCTCTGGGCCAATGGGGGCCCTGGCCCTGCCCTTAGCTTTGATAGAACCCGCTCAACAATACAGCTTCCCCTCTGAGAACCCGGAGCACAGCGTCTGTGCGCTCAGCTCCTAGCAGGCAGTCGGGTGGAGAGTGCACGCTTGTGTGTACATGTATACACACATGCACACACACATATCTAGTAAACCCATTGCCATAGAGCCAATTGTGACTTGGGACCTATGTTTCAGAGTGGAGCTGCTATAAAAATTTTCTTAGCTTTGTGGATGCAGATAACCAGACTCTTCATCAACAGTTTAGACCACTCACCTTGAGGTTAATTAGTTGATTTCAAGTAATTGCTGAGTCAACTCTAGCCCATAGCAACTGTATGAACAACAGAACTGAACAGCCCAGTCCAACGCCAGCCCCACAGGCTCTGCTGTGTGTGCTGGTCTCAGCCCGTCTTGTGGTTTTCCACTTTTTCACTGACCCTTTACCATGCATGATGTCGATATACTTACATGAGAAGATGAGCTCAAATTATTTGCAACAACCCAGAGCTGTGTGTGTACGTATGGGGCTCTGGTGGCCTAATAGTAAGGAGTTATTTTGCCAATCGAAAGGCAGGTGGTTTGAATCCATCTTGGGAGAAAGATAAACAAGCTCCTTTTGTGTGATTTAAAGCCTCTGCTGGAGGGTCAGCTATGAGTAATTTCTGACTATATGGCACATAACAACCAATTAGATAGATATAGATAGATAGATAGATAGATAGATAGATAGATAGATAGATAGATGATAGATAGATAGATAGATAGATAGATAGATAGATAGATAGATATTGTTATGTGCCATAAATTTGGAATCAACCCATAGCTGACCCTCCAGGAAGTTTTCAGAGGCACTTAATCACGTGGAAGGTAGTTGGTCCTCCTTCTCCTGTGGATCACCTGGTGGATTCGAGCCACATGTCTTTCAGATGGCAGTGCAGCTCTTTACTACTAGGCCAGATAGATGTAAAGTCAGGTAGATACAAGGTGGGACCAGTCCTTGAAGAGGGACGTCGTGCTTGGGAAGGTGGAGGAATAGCACAAGCAAGGAAGACCCTCGATGAGATGGATTGACTCAGTGACTGGGGTAATGGGGATAAGTGTGACAGAGACAATAAGATTGGCACAGGATAGAGCAGGGTTCAGGGCTGTTGTGCATAGGGTCACTATCAGTTGGAGTCAATGCTATAGCATATAACAACAACATACACACATGCACACACATACATACATGTAATGTTGTCCTTTACATCCTGAAATAATCCTTAATGAAATGAGACCATCCAGATAAAGACCTAAAGAATGATTTTTCTTGCCAAGTGCAGTGGACCCTATTCTGTGGTCTGGTGCAAGGTGTGACCCTGGTCAACCCCCAGTGCTTCACGCTTGGCCAAGTCATTCCTTGTGGTACACATGGAAAGCAGGTGGTTAGGGGACCCTTGGCAAATTGAGGCTTTGGGGCTTTCATTCTCAGTTGTGTGTTTCCATGAAAACAGGAACTGAAGTGCACAAAACTATTGATATGGCTGTAGTCATGTGTTTGTCAGAGAAAATGCACTATCAGCTGTCAGATCTATCTCCTCCCACTACAGATAGAGGGGTGGGGGTGAGATGGCGCAGAAGCGGCGAGGCGAGGTGCCCGAGCAGCCAGAGCAGGGATGTGCTGTGGCCAGTTGGCTTGGTAAGAAGCTCTGGATAGGCCAGGGGAAACGGACAGGCAAAGCAAGCTGGAGTCTCTGGACCACCCCAGACGCACTGAGCTCTTTGGGGACCCTGCTGTAGGAAAGGCGGGAAGTGCTGATGACTTTTCTATTGCCATAGGAAGTCTCTTAGACAAAATGAAAGCTCCCTCAACCTGTAATCTCAATATCTGGTTTGTGAGAATTTTTGGGTGTTCCGAAATACATGAGCCCGAAAAAAATTCTTCATTCAACAAGCAATTCGTTGAGCATTTTCTGCTTCCTAGGTCCTATGCCAGGGCTGGGTAGCATCCTACATAGATTTTCCTCAAGCAGGATCTAAATTCCACACACACAAAAATCCCCAAACTCTCAAGCTTTCTATTATACATCTTCTAAAGCTAGTGAAACCAGAAATATGAAAACATGCCTGAGATAAAAGATCAGAATTCTCATTCTTTGAAAATGTTTAGCACTTTGTAGTTCATTTGGACTCGCTCAGTTTTCACTACAGAAGTTTCTTCTTTAAGTGGATGTCTCGGTTGTCTCACATCATGCATCCTCCAAAGCATACCAGAGCTCCTTACCTTTGGAACAGCAAAGACGTCTGCCACCATCAACTCATTGCACGCATGCTTGATCTAGGCAGGAGCAATGGAGTAAGAGACAAGAGTTAGCCTCCAGCAAACAGTGTAGCTCTTGATGCGCATCTCCAACCACCTCAAACTGAGAAAATGCCCAACCGTGTCTTCCAAAAAAGTGCTCGGGAGAGAATTCTCAGCAATGTTCTCTACCCTGACCCAACCACCAGCTACCAACTCCTCTACAAGTCATCCTATGCTTCTCCTACTCTAAGAAATACCCAAAGTATCACCAAAGTTCACCAAATCATCTGGAGATGGTGACAGATAGCTTACTCACCTTCGGGACTGTGAGGTAGTTCAAAGTTTTGATGATCTCTTTTAAGGTAATACCACAATGGTGGCCGTGGACAAAGTTGCTGGTATATACCAGTAGGCAAAACAAAATTGGAATCAAGTGGGACGTGGGAGCCATGAATAGATCACTATTTGTTGGGTCAATGTGAGACAATTCATTTACTAGGAGAAAATAACAGTGAAATCATGACAAAGGTATCTCTATATATATAGTTTTAAAATTGCTGAAACCAAAGGAAAATAAGTTTACATTGGAAATTTTCATTACACTAGACTGTCAGTCTTCTAGGGCCAATCAGAGCCTCTCTTCCAGGAGAAAAACTGCCTCACAGAAACAGGTAAATGTTCCTGTGAAATCAGACCAATAGGAAAATGAAACTTTTTAAAAAACACACACGTACACACACATTAACTACAACATTTCAGCATAGGAAATTACACCATAATTTGCTCTTTAGATTAATCTTATCAGCTTGGGGTTGCTGCTGGCTTTTTGCTTGACACAGAAGGAAGCAGTCATAGATGTCCAGGCCCCTTCACCATGGTGGTCCTCCCATGGAAGGGCTGGGTGATGTCAGGAAAGTTTGACTTGAATGGAACTCCAGCCCAGCCTCCAAACATGGGTGGGATCTTGGAAACAATCCTGCGGTGGGACCGCTGACTTGGGCTTCTTTCTCTGGTAGGAGGGGTTTGGTGGGTACTGATTCTTTCTTGTCTTTGCTGTCAGGCAAGTCCTTCCTCCAGGTTTAGGTCTTCACGGCAGGCCATATGCCATCAGGGGGTCTGGACTGGACCACAGCTGGCCCAGAAGCAATAGATAGTCCCTCTGTAGGGTCTCTCTATTAATTTTGAAATTTATAAACGTCAAAATTTCATAAACAGGCACTTCTAGTTTAGTCAGTAGGAGAAAGGGCGCTCTGGTGGCTTAGTGATAAGGAATTGCACCGCCGACTCAAAGGCATTGGTTCGTATCTACTAGACCCTCCATGGGAGAAAGATGGACAATCTCCATTTACAGTCACTGAAAACCCACTGAAGTGTCAGCTCTGAATAGGTTCTGACTTGACAACAAGAAGGAGGGAAAATAATCAGTCTTACTAATTTCCAGATCATTTCTGTTGGCCAGTGTCACACCTTTCTAAAATCTAGCTTGTGTGAAGCTGGCTCATAACCTCAGACAACAGTAAATGCCCGAGTTGGGCACCTGAGCCCCTGAGTGGTGGTCCCTCCTCTCTCACAGCACTCCTCTCTGGAGGGCAGGGCTCCATGAGGTAGCAAGATTCCTATACCCTACTGTGCCTACTGGTGGAGCTCCGGTGGCCTAGTGGTAAGAAGCTGCACTACAATCCCAAAAGCACGTGGTTTGAATCCACCAGATGGTCGATGCGAGAAGGATGGACAATTTCCTCTTGTGTGGTTAACTGCCTGTGAAAACCCACTGGAGGGTCAGCTGCAGATCAGCTCCAACTCAAAGCTTTCTCCTCCCAGAGCATTTATTCCTACTCCAATTCTCTTTCTTTGCTTTCGGACTTACTTCCCATGGAAGAGCCTGTAGAAATGTTTCTGGTGAAGGTTGTAAGATTATGTGTCTTAATGCACTATGAACTCTGCAGAGGAGAGGATCTGAATCATTGTATCGAGAAGGTCCTTGGTCGCATTTAGGATCCTCCCATAGGGACTTGGGGGTTCTGAGGCCTGAGATAGGTGGAGATTCTGCACCGAGAATGACAGCTTGGTGTGAAATGGTGCACACTCCTTTCTTGAAGAAGTGACAAGACAGGAGTGCATTTGTGAGGAGTACAAATACGCTAGAGGGTTATCCTTCCTAAGGGCAGTCAGGGATGTACAATATAACTCCCTTTACAGTTTCAGGAATGGCAGGAAAAGGGGAAGTGAAGGTGCTCAGACTTGACATCACAGGTCAAGGACACAGCTCTCCACACTACTGCCCTCACTCAGACACCAGCTAATAGCACAGAGGGCCCAGTGGCCCTTCCTTCTGACCACCAAAATACAGATTTAAGGCTTCCCATGTGTAGTCTCAGGCTCAGTAATCCACCAGAAGAACTGGCAGAATTCAGGGAAGTACTATACTTATGATTACAGTGCTATTCTAGCAAAAGGACACAAATAAATCAGAAGACGTCAAAGAGAAAAACACATCGAGGCCTGGGAGGATTCTAGTCACAAAGCTTCTTACCATTGGGATGTGTTAACCTGCCGGCGTGCTGATATTGGAAGCTCACTCAAGTTCCAGTGTCTAGAGTTTTTATCAAGATTCCATTACAGTGACATGACTAGATCATTGCCCATGTGACTGAACTTAACCTTTAGCCGTTCCCCCGCAAGACATCACATAGCTCTAAGTTCTAACCCCCTAACCACATGGGTTGTTGTTTTATTTTTTCCTGGCATGACTAGTATTATAAATTAAATTGTAACACACCCCGAAATGTGTGTCAACTTGACTAGTCTATGAATCTCAGTATCATGTAATCATGCTCTATGTTGTGTTTTGATGTAATTATCCTTTGTGTTGTAGATGCTAAACACTGTGATTTTAATGAGGCAAGATTAGTGGTAGTTATACTAATATTGTTGGTGTGTGTCATTGATTCAGAACTCACTCATAACCCTCTGGTGGGTTTTCAGATACAGTAAATCGCGTGGGAGGAGATGACCCATCCTTCTCCCATGGAGCAGCTGGTGAATTCAAACCACATACCTTTGAGATTGCAGTATAGATTCTTACCACTAGGCCACCAGTACTCCCTAATGCAATTTTTGGATTAAATTCTATCAGGTAAATTTTTTGGGAGACTATATACGAGATTAGATACCAGCAGTCAGGAAATTAAAAGACAAATTACATTGGGGAAAAATCTGCTGTCAAAGACCTCTCCAGAGTGCTGAAAAGCAACAATGTCGGTCTAAAGACTAAGATGTGACTGATCCAGGCCATGGTCTTCACAATTACTTGTTATGCATCACAGAGCTGGACAATGACTAAGGAAGACAGAAGAAGGGTTGATGCCTTCAAATTGTGGTGCTGCAGAAGAGTCTTGAACATATCATGGACTGCCAAGAAAACATCAGTCTGTCTTTGAGAGGGTGAAACCAAGTTTCTCCTATGAGGCTAGAATCTTGAAGTTCTGTCTCACATATTTTGGGCATGTAGCCAGGAGAGACTGGTCCTTAGAGAGGGATATCACACTTGGAAGGGTGGAGAGACAGTGCAAAAGAAGAAGACCCCGGACGAGAGGGATTGATTCAGTAACTGGGGCAATGGGGGTTGGTGTGTCAGAATTAGTGAGATGGCTCAGGACAGGGAAGGGTTCAGAGCTGCTGTACATAGGGTCACTATGAGTCGCAGACAACTTGCCAGCACATAACCACAACAACAACAACAGTAACATCTACAAGATTAAATAAGGAAGCAGAGGTCAGAGGGATCTCCTACCACCAAAAAAGAAGAGTCGGGAGTAGAGTGAATCCTTTGGATCTAGGATCCCTGTGCTGAGAAACTCTTAGACCTAGAGGAAGATTGATGACAAAGATCTTCCCCCAGAATTAGCAGAGAGAGGAACCTTGAACTTCTAGACTCTTAAACAGTGAGATAATGTATTTTTGTTTGTTAAAAGCTACCCTTCAGGAACAGCAAAGAGAAAGAGAAGAGTGGGAGAAAGAGAAGTCTGCCTTCATAAAGACTTGAGATCCCTGTGCGTCAGTTATACTCTGTGCTACAGGGTCTCGATGAGTCAGAAGCAATGACAATGGATTTTAGAGGTTATCCTCAAGGAGCTGAGACGGAAGGCCAAACACTCTTCAGATAAAGTTAATTCTTCACTATACAGGATGTGAGTGGGATCTGGGCTGTCTCTGAGGGGTAACACATAAGCCATTCAGGGGTTCAGTGGTTCTCTGAGCATCTGCTGAGAGCCAGGTACAGCATTTGAGGTTCTAGGGGCAAAGATGGTGAATCAGAAAAGTATGTAGTCTAAGGAACCATGAAATCAGAAGCAGAATGGGGCTTTTTTTGTTGCTTGGTTGAGTGGTTGGATGAGGTCATTAAATTTTCCAGCACATCAGAGGGTGAGCAGAATGTCCCATCAACAGGTAGAAGGAGAAGATGGGCCCTCCTCCCCTGCATAGGCAAAGGTCAGGCAAGTAGGTATGGGCGCCAGTGGGCACCACCCTGGAGGGAGCCCCTCCACACCTGGCAGTAGTCATGGGCAGTGGCTTGTGGGGGAGATGCTGAAGTCTCTGCTGGGTCGTCCTATGTCAGTCACATGCCCTGCTCTTTCTTCCTTGGGTACATGGCCTAGAGAGACTGGTCCTTGAAGAAGGACATCATGCTTGGAAAGGTGAAGGGACAGCTCAGGAGAGGAAGACCCAGAAGGAGATGGATTGATACAGTGACTGGGGCAATGAGTGTTGGTGTGTCGGAGTCAGTGAGACTGTCTCAGGACAGAGCAAGCTTCAGAGCTGCTGTGCATAGGGTTGCTGTGGGTCGTAGACAGCTTGACAGCACATAACAACAACAACAATCATTTCTATCTGGACTGGAGCTGCAAAGGGGTCTGAGAACCATGGCTGTGTCTATGCGGGCTAGCTCTGAGGAATGTGGGAATGCCCAAGGTAAGGGAAGGACCCTTTCCCTTTTTCTCACAGCCTTCCCTAGTCACAGCTCCCTCAGACCCTGTAACTAATGCCAGTAGCCCCCACGGTGCCCATGCCATGCAGAGTCTGGAGAACACCTTCCTGCTCTCTGTCGGCAGTGCAGGATGATAACCGGAAGAGCCCTTTCCAGCTCTAATAAGGCTCTGTCTTGAAAACCCTGAGATGTCTTGTTAGTACTCATATTTGCTACTTCTGTCTCACAAATAAAATAACCAGAGATAAGAATATAGGGAACTGCCAACCACATCAATAGTTCTTATTCATTAAATTGTTTGGCAGATGTATCAGTATTTACTCCTTCTTTTTTTTTTTCTTTTCTACTAGTTTACTTACAAAATTTGAATACATTGTTTTCAAGAACAAATTCTTTCAATTTCCCTCACCCCCACATCAAATTGTACAACCCCATGATTAATCCCCTCTCCCCCTGCACATCCC